TATCACAGAAGTAACCATTTATAAAAGCCAGTCAAGAAAAAAAAAAAAAAAAAAAAAAAAAAAAAAAAAAAAAAAAAAAAAAAAAAAAAAAAAAGAAATGCACACAAGGTAATTCCAAGTTAAATCTCAGGGCTGAAATTTAGATTAATAAAGTTTAAAAAAAATAAAGAGTAAAGCTACTCAGAAACAGTCTGAAACTTGAATTCATTGCTTTGCATAAAGTAAAGGTAGACGACAAAAGGTCCCTTTGCTCAAGGATTTATAATAGCAAAGTTTCAACAGGCATTCTGGCTTTGTTTTTTACAGACTCATAAATAGAACTTCTTTGTACTATCATGGAATGTGATCTATTCTCTGTCACAGCTGTCCTACAGCACCCTATAGGACAGCAGAAATTGTACTTCTATAAAATTTTCAGTCAATATTAATCCAAAAGGATCTACATTTCTTTAAAATAGCAGTGTAAAACTTTGTCTCCTACTGCTTCCCATGCTTGATGCATGAATAAAACAATTGCTTGGTTATCTCAGAGTGCTGTAATACCGATTTCTTCTTTTTTTTACTTTTTTTCCTTTAAGCAGAGGCCACAGTAATGAAAATCAGGAACTGCTTTCAAGTTAAAACAATGTAATAACTTAAAAGAAAGAATTTCAAATTATTTGTTTCAGCTACATTTAGCCAAGCCTGAAGTTGAAGCACAAACTATTTTATCTTAAAAAAAAAAATCTGCCAAAATTAATTGAAAATTTCCTATAGTTGGTAGATACAGGAAAGTCTAATTGCTTGAGAATATAGTATATTACAAATTGCTTAGTAAGTGCTTTAAAGTCCATGCCTGCTTTCATATACCAGACATGTAAATAAAGTTAAATAACACAAGTTTTGCATGGAAAACAGATTTTACTGCTATACCTGCAAGGCAGGCACATATGGCAAGACTAGAGCACGGGCTGTAAGTGAGAAAACAAACTTACTGAGTGATTTTCTTGTTTCATGACTTAAAGGATAAAGTTTTGAAATTATTACTTAAATCTCTAATTATTTTACTAGCCAGGACTTCATTGATAGTTTCTACATTCTATTTAAAAACTTGCAAGATACAAAAAAAACCCCAAGAAACAATATCATTAGGAAGCCAATTGCTTCTCTCTGGATAAAGAATGGTTTTCTAGGAACAAGTTAAACATTTATTTGTTTGACAGGGGCATACAATTCACTACTTAGCAGATGAAAATACATAAGGAAAAAAATGGCAGGGGTAACTTAAATCAACTTATAAAGTTTACTCCAGGAAACTTTCCTACATAATGGTGTGTTTCAAAAGCATGCCTGAGAAAACACCATCCCTTTGATAAGCAAGCATTAATAAAGGTGTGCTATTGTTTAAATTACTGTAGCCATCTTCCAAAGTAGAAAATGCCATTATATACGTCAGTTTGGAAGAAATATCATGTCATTTGTAGAAGTATTATCTCTTTTTTACATTAATTTTTTGTAGGTAAGGACCTGAAAATATATATACTATATATATATATATACCATATTTGCTCACAGCTTTCATATATGACCTGATTTTAAATCTGTTTGGGATTAATTAATGTATAAGTACAGATTTCTGATAATCTCCACAATCTTTCAGAAAACTAATATATGTAAAATATAACACACAATACTTGATTTTTGAGGGAGGCTAGAAGGGTTGAACCAATCAAATTGTTTTCAAACATCGTTGAAACTAACAGATACATTTATAGCTAACAATAACAAACATAAATAAATTTGACTGTTTCAGTGACTGTCTTGAATGAGATTTTCTATGTGAATAACCTAAATGCATATCATCCCAAATAAAAAAGAAATATGTTATGAGACTTTAGCAGCATTGTGATCAGGCTGTAGCTTTTTTTCTTTTTACATTATTACATCTACAGCCCAAGAAAGCTGACAAATCTCCAAAAACAGGCATAAACAATAATTCAAATATTTACACTGCTGACTTCAATATGGTCAATTCTTTGTTTTGAAAGCCCACTTTCCATTCATATTCTTGAAAGACTTTAAAGCTAATGCATGCTAGCTTCAAC